TGTATATATATACATTGGTTTTATTTATATAGATATAAAACAAGACAAAATGATACTGTATATCAAAAGAAGCAAAAGGGGTAGGAAATTAAAAATTATAACAAAACAAAAGAATATCAAAAAATCTTAAAGGAGCTTCAGTGGAATGGCACCTTATTTATAGCTTTTGGTAATTATTTAGAGATGGTTTTAAAGTTTCTCTTGACAGAAAACGTTTTCATGTTGAAATATGAGCTCCTAACACAATGTCTCAACCTGCAGTTTTATTTTAAAAGTTCTGTGGTTGAGAGAAACATTTTAGTCGATGGCTTTAAAAAAACATGTAATTCTTGTTAGATTAACACTATTTTTCTCCCTACCTTCCCTCTGTGTTCAGTCTGTCCTGTCTCACTGCAGCTAACTCGAGCCAGGCCCGACCGGTTTAACCCTCCTCAGAGGTCGCTCCTACTGCAGCTCAGGACAGTCCTGTACAACCAATCATCCCCCGGTCCGGCCTCATTCTGAGAAGAATGAAAGGTCCGATTAGGGCCTGCTGGATGTATTCAGCACACAGTCTCCACCACGCCCCACCATCATCCCAGGCGGCGGCCCCTTTCTAACCAACCCCTCTCCTCTCAGCCCCGCGCTACTCTGAGCTGTGATTGGCATGTGAATTGCAGTGTGCGGTGATGATAATAAGAGTGCTAACCGGGGCCAGGCCTGCGTCTTCCAGCCAGCAGCCAATCTGAGCTGGCACGGCCTGAAAGACGACCGCTGCCACCATCTGAAGAGGCAAATAAAAATGACAAGCTAACTGTTAAGAACTGCTGATTTTTCACATGTTGTTTTAAAAGAGTTTTGTGGCCCTGCCAGATTTTTTCCCCCTTTTTCTCAGTTTTCTTTTAAACTTTCATTCTCCTTTACCCTCAACCGCATCCAGAGATGTGAAACCTGTTATTTACCTAAAAGTAATCCACCTCAAGCTGTTGTGCACCTTTGATTAAAAAAAAATGCTTGAGCTCAACATGATGTAACAAAAATTGATAAAGATGCATGGAACACGTAGTTCACAACTTGGAAAATTTGAAGCGCTATTTGTAATAGAACATCATTTTTTAAGTGAGTAAGAAGCATTGGAGGAGTGACTGACAGGTGGTTTTTGCTGCACAGGTGTGTGCTTTTATGCAAACAATAAATAGTGATGAATGTATGCGCAGACTGCATTCAAAGTTTTTAGAGGTCGAACCAAAATGAATCTGTGAATGAAGACTAGTAATTGTGATGCTGAAAGAGGATCAAAGTCACTGCACAAACACTGACCATTTAACACTGACATTTGGAAAATCCGAAAGAAGAAACCGCTGGTGGACTCAGTAACAGAGGTCCATCAGGAAGACAGAGGACATTGCCCAGCACAAACAGAGCAATATTGTATATGCTGTTAAGTGCCAGGAGGACTGCGACCAGTTATACATCGGGGAAACAAAGCAACCACTGTTCAAAAGAATGTCCCAACACAGACGAGCTAATTTCTAATGGCCAGAAGTCTGCAGTTTTCACTCATTTACAGGCCAGCGGTCACTCTCAGAGATGAGGATGTTCTCATTGATAGGGAGGAACATTTGAGGGGAGTAAAAGCCATTTTTGTAAAGAAAGACCGTCCATCATTAAACAGAGGTGGGGGCCTCCGTTTTCAGCTGTCCCCCTCCTACAGCGCTGCCATTGGCAGTATCACTCCACCCCCTGTTAACAGGAATTAATTAGGTGTGAATAGCCATGTGATGCGAGTGTCACCTGGAGGCAGGACTCAAGCCTGAATTTTGCCTGAAACTCTCAGACTGAAGTAGTCTCTTGGAAGAGAGACGAAACGTTTCATTAAATAACCCGTCCACAGGACCTATACAATTTTCTTTGATTTACCTGGATTACTGAGATGCATCAGGACATTTACTTTGTAAGATTTTTCAATTATGATTTTTCTTTAAGAATCTTACCAAGTAAAATTCCTCCATTGGCAGAAATTTTACTTAAGTCAAATTTTCAGGCTATGAATAATAATCTAACATTCTGAAAAACATTCTTACACAATGAGTTCTTCTTTAGTAAGTCAGTCAAAACAAGATCAAAGTCTTTTTGGC